CAAGTCGGACATGAAAGTCTGATCGTCTTCATACCATTGTTGGGCTTGACGATACAGGCTTCGGATCTGCTTCAGCCACCCGTGAAGTTTAGTGTGGTCGCCATCGAACGGCGGTAAGGGTTGCCGACGTCCGTGGGTAATTGCGCGTATTAAAGCGACATGTGCTGGATCCTGTGCAAGAGGAATCGGATTTGCCACCGGTGCGACTTGTTGTGCAACCGGGGCAGGTGGTGGGTTGGCGTATGGCATGTGACCTTGTTGGTCTTCGTACGCCCCCTGTTGGTAGGCTTCGTCGTTATGATCGTTGTATCCGTCCTGTTGCGGATATCGAGCCTGAGCGTCTTCGTGACGAGGCTGGTGCGGCTGTCCTCCATAATGTTGTGGGGGGGGCGCTCGATTTTGTCTCGGCGCCTGCGGATAGAATCCACTTGGCTGGTCGTGGACTCTTCCATACCGGTCGGGCTGTGTTCCCTGAGCCGGCATCCGACTTTGTGTAGGTCGGTTCGGAGGCATCCGGCCTTGTTGGTCGGAGCTATCTTCTCCATTTCGTCCGTCCTGCTGCTGGTCAGTCGTGTTGAATGACCGAGCTCGCCCGCGTTCCGAGTCGAATTGCGGGTTCTGGCGGAGGAAGTTTGGGTTGGAGTTCGTCCGTGGCGGGCGGTATGCGTCCATGCCAGGCCTTGGTGGCTGAATCGGGAGACGTTCGGTGTCCGTTGTCCGATCTCTTCTGGCATTGGGTACCGGCGCGTACGTTGTTGTGCGCGTCGCGTACGAGGTGCTTGTATATGCACCGGCCGACGTCGTTGTCGCCACGTTCGACGTTGGTACTCGTGGTGCCGCGGTCGACGTATTGTGTTCCGGTTCCGGAGCACTCGGTACAGTTGGTGGCTGTGGGATTGTTCCCACGTTTGGGTCGGTTGTTACGACTCCGACGAAGTAGGATGTGTTGTTCTCCTTCTTCGCCATTTCCTGGGTCGGAGTAATTCCCCACAGGATGTCACTGATCGTTCGTGACGGCTGTTGATCCTGTGCCATGGACGTTCGGTATGAGGGGGGTTCAGCTCGACTTTGTTCCCGGTGTGGGGAAAGTTCGACCTGGCTTTGTTCCAGGTGTTTCTTTTCTTCCCTCAGACACCTTGTTTCGATGTCCATTTCGTCCATCTGCCTCATCATTTCCGGGAGGTTACGAGCGGCTTGTTCGCCGAATTCGTACAGCTCGGTTTCGCGGGCTTCCAGGTAAAGGATGCGGCTATGTTGCGCCTCATTTACCTTTTGGGCCTCGTTCAGGTTGTACTCGAGTTGAGCTCGGAGTTTCTGTTCCTCCTTGAGGACTTTGTTCAGTCCATGGACCTGGTCGGCTAGTTGAGCGTTTGCTTCCACTAGGTCGACATCGGCCGTCCTTTGGTTAGGAAAGCCCATGTCCCGAGCGTTCTCGTCAATGAACCGGCGTCCCATTCTGACGAAGAGGAGTTCTATCTCCGACTCGAGTTCGTCGACTCGTTGCGTCAGTCGGTCGATCTCGTTATCGGCCTTTTTTAGCTCCACCACGTATCTATCGACTTCGTTTCGATAGACCTCGGCTTCTTCGTTGGCCGTGTTGAGTTGCTGGTGGAACGCTCTGGCTGCTTGTTCCGACTCGACCAGTGCGGTCTGTACATCGGCCAAGTCTTTTCGGGCCTCTTCGAGCGCTTTGTTCGCTTCAGCGAGTTCCCGGTTTAACTCGTGGACCGCATCCATGGATCGGTCCAGCATGCCCTTGAGTGTAGTAGCTTCATCGATGTCGTGCCGACACGGTTGGTCGGTACGCTTCAGTATGGCATTGAGCCGATCGATTTCCCGTTGCTGAATGGCAATGCCTTTATTGGCGTCAGCCATATCTCGTTCCCACCTCCTCCGTTCGAGTTTGTGGGTATCCGCCGAGTTGCGGAGCGATCCTTCCGTCGAGTTTACAATTTGGTCTGCCAAAGCGTTCTGTGTGATCAGCTTACGGCATCTCGCACGGAGTAGGTCGACATCTTCGATCTTCTCAGGCGGTGTTGCCGCTATCCACTTCTTCGCCGTGTATTCGAGTGCACTGGCCTGGTAGGTGAGGTCGTCCTGGTTGGACTTCACCGGTGTCGTGAAGAATCCGTCCGCACTGTTCGGTCTTGACACCTTTGTCGTGTCAAAGACTTCGTCGTTCGGTGTCGGGGTTCTTTCGCTACCAAGTTCGCCAGGTTCGAACATTAACGGTGAAGGTCGGATCTTCAGGTCGACAGGTCGACTTTGTGTCGCCTTAGTCGACTTCGCCGTTTGTTGAGCTTCAGTTACTCGAGTCGACTCGCTTCCGGTTGGCGAAGGTCGGCTCAACGGTGAAATGATCCGTTCGGTAGGCGCCGGTATGCTGGTCGGTGATCCAGCTGGGCGAGGGCCGCTTCGTGGCGGTACCTCGGAATCTTCCGTTCGAGTCGGTAGTTTAGTCGGCTGGACGGCCGCATCCGACTTTGTGTCGGTTGGTTGCCGTTCCAGGGAAGTCGGTTGCTTGTTGCCGACTTCCTTTTCTCCAACCTCTGAGGTCGGTGAAATCCTTCCGACCTGTGTGGTCGGTTGGACTTTGCCAACTTCTGATATCAGTTTTTCCATTCCGGTCGAGGTCGGTTGTTCGACCTCTGAAGCTGCTGGTAGGTCGGCCTTCTGTTGGTCGACTTCCCTGCTCGGGGATTTTCGCTCGGCCTGTGTGGTCGGCGATTTCCTTCCGACTTGGTTAGTCGGTATGTCCATGTTGGACGAGGTCGGTTTCGGCACTTCTTCCGTCCTGTTGGGTGATTGCCGTCCGAGCTCGGTGGCTTCTGTAGCCGTTACCGAGTCTTGAGCTCTTTGTGAGCTCGGCTCCAGGTCGGCATGAGACAATGTGGTCTCTGCCTGCAGCTGTTCCACATCCCCCCGGTCGGGTGGGACGGGGCTGCTGTGTCAGCTTGGGTATCCAGGAATGTTTTATCCCTGGCGTCCTCAAAACTGTCATCCGAGGTCGGATTCGAGTCGGCAAGGAGGATTCGTTCGTTGCGCCTTTCCCTTGCCTCAGCCGACTTAGTCGAGTCGGTTGAGGACGGCTGACTTTTGTCCTGACCGGCGTACCGGAGTGAGTACTTTCCGGTCGTGTTCGCACGCCGCGAGTAGTCCTTATTGAACTTCTTGGCGTATTCGTTTTCTCGGGAGTTCGACATTGTTGTCGACTCAGGTCGGCTCTGATGGAGCCTTGAGGTTTAATAGGTTAGAAAGAGAAAATCGAACAATCTTCTGTGTGAAGATGTTCGGTAAAATCAGGAACGTCTTTTTGTTCAGGAACTTCCGAGGGTCAGGAACGTCCGGTGAAATGTTGTTGTTGTTGTTGATGTGTCTGTTGATGACTCAGTACACAGGGTATTATTATACAGTACAGTGGTACAGTAGAGTACGTAATAGTAGTACGGTGTAGCACATCCTATGCTACTGTGCTGACCAATGTGACGTAACAGGTTAAGTGGTCTTGCACTTCTGCCTACGTCACAGAATGCGAGCCGCGTGCAAAAATTTACAAAAAACGATGAATCACGCCTATGTTAGGCTATGGGAACTTTCCCCTGCACTCTGATTGGCTGCCTCTTAAGTACTGATAAGCGGTCGTTATGACGTCACAAGGAAGTTCGAGAATTTTCGCGCTATTTTCCGCCAGAAGAACAGATTATTTTAGGTCGGCTAGAAAGTTTATCTAGTCGGATTTTGAAGTTTTTAACCGTTAGAAATTAGTTTTATTAATTAAGAAAATTTTCTGGTGGTCGAAACACCGTTAGAAATCAAAAATAAGAGAATTTCCGACCTGTTGCCGGTTAGCCTTTGTCTAACTGTCTAGACAGGTTCGTTGACCTAGCAGGTCGGTTCTCGACCAAAAGCAAAATTCCGAGTCGGTTTCTCCGTCGAAAATCACTTTTTAACCGTTAAAAATTTTAGATTTACGGATAGAAGTAGTTTTCTACCGTTAGAAAGTGAAATGCCGACCTAGTTTCGGCTAAAATCGACCTATAACCGTGACTTTACCAGTGTCGGTGTCGGTGTCGGTCGATTTCCTCCGTCCGAGGTCGGAAATTCGTCGTTTCCGAGCTGAAATCCGCCGTTAAAGTTGCGGGTCGCTGTTCAAAGCGAAGGTCCCCGTATTATTGGATTAATCCGTTCGCGCTGCAGACTCTCGTTCGAGTCTGATCCGTCAGTTGGGAGAGAAAGAGTCCGTGCGTTCGGGAATGCGCTCTTCAATGTGGAAGAGACAAAGAAACTGTGCTCACCAGCTGGGCAAGAATCACTTCAGTGATCCTCGTTTTCCTCAGCTGTAAGACGATGCGATCAGTCCGATCAAAGTCAAGGCAGAGATTGCTTCAGCAATCTATCTGACAGTGACTTTCAGGTTCCTCACGAGTTCTCCGTAAATCAAGCCTTCACCGTCTCCTCAAAGGGTCCGTCGAAAGAAAACCAAACGATTCTGCTTACCATGTAACAGGCAAGCGCGAGGAGATCACGAGTGTGCTTTATTGTACAAATAAAGGGAACAATGCTGCGTAATAGCAGGAAAGCAAAACAAAGCACTGATGGCTAAGCAAGCAAGTGTATGCTAAAAAGCTCTTGAGCGTTCGCCAAGGCGTGAAAGAAGCAACTGGCGGCAAGCACGTGCTGTGTGCCATCAGCTGTGTGATGATGCGCAGACTGGACTCAATCCAACGCGAGCGTATGAACGCTGAGTCATACTGCGAGAGAGGGACGAGAGAGCAAGTATGCTCAGTGTGTGCGCCGCGTATATCCGCTTCAGCGGGTATGAGTGCAGTGCAGCAGCACACGTACGTACAGCGAGAGAGGCGATATGGCAAGCATGAGTGCAAGTACGTCCATGGTGGGCCGTATGCACCAGGCGCAGTCATGGGCCTCTGACAAAAGCTATCAGTGTCGTCGAGTTGCATTGCGAAGTTTCGAATTATACGACGTTGTGTGGTATATAGGCTGTTAAATGGCATGCAAATGATCTCGTGGATCCTTGCTTGAGAGTGGTGGACGCATATTGTGAAAATGTTCTGCGCTTCAAGGGGCTTAACCAGATCGACAGGGGAACGTTGGAGATGATTCTGCGACGCAGCACACTTCGGGCATCGGAAAACGCAGTCTACACTGCAGTAGAAAAGTAAGTGCTGCTGAGCATTTTCACTTTCCGAACCGGGGTCGTGTTGCTAGTTGCTACACTCGTGCAATTGTACTGCGATTTCGGGTATACGCATCTATGTTAACAAAAACCAAGCAGAAATTATTATGATTTATGAAACGGACCTTTTCGTACCTTTTGACGACTTGTGAAATGTATGATTCCCACTATAGCCAGTACGACGACTGGGTCATAATTTCTTTCCGTGATTTTGCAGGTGGGCAACAGCGGCCTGTGCCCGTAATGACGAAGAACCGACGGCGCATCCTGGCCGATCTGCTGCTCCTCGTACGATTTCCGTTAATGAGCGATACCGAGCTGCTAGATGGACCCGCCACGGTGGGCAAATTGAAGCTGTAATTAGCAGAAGTACTAAGGTATCGGAAACCGAGAACATAATCCTTGCTCTCGTAGAGTGGGCTGCTACTGGAGGCGGAATTGTTGGACATTTACCGGTACAAACATGCCACTATGCGGCCGGAAATTCCGTTTTTATCGCAGCCAAGAAGCGATTTGCCGCCGCATTCTCCGGATAGAGATTTCGAGCCGGAGACGGAGTTCCGATTTCGCTTAAAGAAGATCATCAGGCCATTCATCATGTTGGCCAACAAATTACCAAAGCGCTCGCGGTTGGTGCAACAATTGCCAGCGCGTCGGTGCGTGCGCGGGCAATATTTCTGCTGTCCTGTTGCCTTTTCATCAACCTTGTCGCTATTGCTTTATTACGCTGTTTATTGCGTTTACAGTTCGCCTGTATATTATGGCAGCTTGCCGAAATCTAATATGATTTCGTTGCGTCGTGGACAAGACGGTCGTTTTGGGCTTACTCTTGTATGTAGTAAGAATTGAAGCTGGATCTTGAAAGAAGAAATGTTTATATATAGGTTGGAGGCTTAGGTTCGCCGAATGGGAATTTGCCGATTTCGGTGGAAGTGATCGTAGACGGCGGAAGCGCTCGGATTGATGGTAAACGTAATATTACGATTTTGTGCACGTACTCCTGGCAGAGAAACGCGTTCTGATTCGTGGTAAACCATCCGACGTAATATTGACAAGACGATACACTGCATGGTTTGCGTTAGACATCAGCTTTTCTACAGGTCGATTGCAGCCAGGCGATCGGATTGTGGCGGTGAACGGTGAGAGTCTAGAAGCGGTCACTCGAGAGCAGGCCAGGAGCATTCTGCGCAACGCCGGAAACAACGTAACCCTGGATGTGATTCGCTGAATACTGCCTGTACACACTGTGCATTGCACTGTCTAAACTCGGCTTCGTGGACGTGTGATCAGCTAGCGATTGCAATTTAGTTTTGTAATAGCTTAATGCAGTGTGCGTACTATAATGTCTTACGAAAAATGATTTACCCGGTGAATGGCAAGAATAGTGGGGTACTCGTACATTTTTACATTCGGTAGCGCATCGTGCATTACTTTATCCTTTCCTTCCGCGTGAAAAATAGTTTTTCGTCCTGATATCGTGTTTAGCTTAATTACACTCTTGAATAATATGATCTTGTCTGTTTTCCATTTCATAGTTCTGTGTACTTAATAACAGAAAAAATATACTGTAACAAAAAACGACTCCCTTTGCGAAACTGTATGAAACGATCTTAACTCCTGTAGTCTGTACATCTTTCAGGGGTTATTATCATTTGCAGAGCAATTTATTACTGCAAGCCGAATTGTGGGACATTTATCGGTACAAGCACGCGACAACGAAGCCCGAAATACCATTTTCAGCGGAACCAAGATTGAACCCGGGGTTTGTTCCGCCACCGGGCGGTTTAGATGCGCGGTTGAAGTCAACGGTCTGGCTGCCGTCGTATTGGATCGAGAAGATCCCCAGCCCAATGCTGTGGCTGGCTAAGCTTCTGTTAGGGATTTCGTTGAAAGCGGTGCCGGAGTATCGGTGAGTGGTTGAATTCTCAACCACAGCTACTTGTACAAAGAACTCGGCGTTGTCATAATCATTTCACCGTTGCTCATTCGTTTTTTTTGTTGCAGTCTGCCGGAAGTTATTACGATCGTACTCCGGCGAGAAAACGGTCAACTAGGATTTTCTATGGTGTGTGTCAGGTTGACACTGACATCACTATTGGTGTACATGTAGTCCCATTAATATAATTTTACAGAATAAATATCTGCATGCACTGAAGGACACACATCTCGATCTTTGTACTAATTTACGAGCAGCGACTTAATCCTGTAAAGTATCACATCGAAACACTTGTAATTTTTGTGTTTCCTTCTTTATTTTGCCTTCAGTTTGATTTGACCAATAAAGACCGGAGTTACGTATTACCAGCTTAGCAAGATAATACAGGTTTTACGAAGTCTCTGTTAATATGATTCAGCTTCAAAGATCATTAATATTTTAATAACATTGCGTACCCATAGGTCGGTGGCCGCGCAACGCGAGAAGGGGATCTGGAAATTTTTGTGCAAAGGATTGCACCCGGAGAAAGCGCCGAGGGAGACGGTAAGAAGTGGTTCTCCAATCTTGGGCGAGAAAGCGTTTCCGGGAGCCGTAGGCATGGCGCGGCCAGACGGAAATACCAACTATCCTCAATACGTACAGATGGGTCTGCACTCTGCAGTGCCATTTCAAGTCAACATCCTATTTTCTACAGGTCGACTGAAGCATGGTGATCAGATTGTCCGCGTAAACGGAGAGAGTGTACTAGCGGCCACCTACAATGAGGCCGTTACCATGCTGCAGTACGGCGGAAACAGTGTGACCTTAGATATTGTTCGTGGAAGTCACTACCCGTGTTCTGAATGCGCACAATCTCTCTACGGATAATTCCTCCGTCTGGCTTAAAAACTAAAACGCGGTGTAGTGATTTTTTTGTGGTTTTACTTACTAGAACTGTATTAATTTAATCCTCATGCGTGCTTTTCAAGTTACTGAATTTTTCACTGAGCGAAAATAATGAACAAATAGTCTACACATCCAAATTTCACATAGAAAATTATCTTGTAGCACTGCAAAAGCGAAATGGCTTCAACAAATGTACAATGTACATTTGATAATGTTTTCAAAGGATAATGTTTTTAACGAGGTCAGGTATTCCGGCATCCTTGTACCTTCAATTGTCTGATTGTCAATCCAACTTCCAAATAACTCAGATATTTGGAAGTTGGATTGACAAACCGCATTTTAGTATAACTATATACTGTGTTCGTACTTTTTTGATTCGCCTAACTAAAATACTTCGAGCTTTGTCCATTGTAAAAGTTAGAAAGACTTTTTAACTTATTGCTTGGTTTCTCTGTATACAGAGTTTTACTACACACTGAATAAAGAATAAAATAATAACGTCCTAGCAAACAGTAATATCAATACGGAAACGGATCACTTTACATTCCGGTCACAAGAAAAAAGCGGGGTGTCGTTATCAATGGGTCACTATAATTATAATAAAACATTTTATTATTCAACGGTGTAATTGAATACAGCCCTCGTCCCTGTACGAGATGGAATAGCGCTTGTCTGGGAAGATGCCTGCTGGGATACGCTAGCACGTCTCACGTGGGGGTAAGCTCGAAGGCGCCCGGCATTGTGTCACACCATACCTGTATGTGTCAAGCTCCCTCGTGGTCTCGCCGTTCCCTAAAAGAGTGCCACGTTACAAAGAACGATGGTTTGGCTGTTGGCCTAATCTGCTCGTGTGCTCGAACTTCGAAGCAGCTCCAGCTGATTGCACCGAAATCGACGCGATATGTGTGAGACCGTATAATGCAGCCGCACACCCGGATTCACATTATGGGTACAAGGATGCACGGCGAAATGCGGCGCTTTTTTTCACCATGATTCTCTATTCTCAGGTTCACATCTGTAATCGGTCACAGTGTGACCGATTACCGAGCCTATCAGCCTCACGATGACTGGATCTGCAGAATATTACTTAAACTATTTTCAGTCTGTGTCGCTTAAAAATCTGTCTTGCTGATCGATTTACAGTATCTTGAAATTAAGACCTAAGTTCTACAAAAGAAGTTTTAGCTTTCTGCTTATTGCAACTGTCGTTTTTTGGTTTGACGTCCTCTGAGATATCGTTTGTAGTTGTTTTTTCACTACCTGGTTTCAGTCCAAATATGCCACCAACTGCGACAGCATCGGGTGCCAACAACCCGGACCGAGAACTTGCCACTTCCGGCATCCCCAGTTTCCTGAACACTGCGTTAAGCAGCGGTGACCTGAGCGATGTAAAATTTGCCGTGGGGCGTGCATATGGCCCCGTAAAAGTCTTTTCAACACACAAGTACGTTCTCGCTGATATACATATGCTGTGGGCTTCCGTTCCTGGTTTTACTGATCTGTCTAGAAACATCTTGAGCATGCGCAGTCCGGTGTTCCGCACTATGTTCTACGGAAGCCTACCCGAAAACTGCGACCACCCCATTCCTGTTCCCGATGTTCATCCTGATGCCTTCGCCAACATGCTCAGGTATCTGGACTTTCATAAACAAGAGTTTGAAGAAGACATGCACCGGAATTTATACGCGTTGTTACTTTTAGCTATTTTTACACCAACGACGTCGAGCTCAGTCGCAACACTGTCTTCCCCACCCGATTCTGTGCGGACAGGTACGATGTGCCGTTACTGGTCGACCATTGCTCGCGGTTCATCTTAAGTCAACTTGAAGCAGGCAACTGCTTAATGTATCTGGACAAGGTACGTATCCTCAGTGCTCCCTGTGCTACGAAACTGCAAATAACTCTTCGGTTTCCTGCAGGCGGTTAAGTGGAATGCCGAAGACATCGTTGAGTCGTGTTTGAAATTAGTGGATATGCATACTGAAGGCATTCTTCGCTCCAAACGATTCAGCAAACTGGATAGGAAATCGCTAGAGCTAATTTTGCAGCGCAGCACACTGCAGGCAGCGGAAAACGCGATCTACATGGCAGTCGAAAAGTGAGTGATATATAAGATATATCCCGGTATCCCATATGTAAGACAGAAGACATAAAACTTTGTCACATTGGTCGTCGCGCACTGAAGACGTCCTAAAAGACCCTCTCATTTTGTTAAATTAATGGCTCTCCTAGTTGAAATTTGAACTTGCTTCGGTTTGTCTGTATCTTTCGTAAAAACTGAAAATCCAACCGGCATTAACAGCAATAACCGGTTCATTTTACGTAAACTGGTAAGCATTAAGGTAATGTTACCACAGAGATTTGATCAACACCAAAAGTTTTCGTTTAGAAGCGTTTGAAATCTATTTGGAACATTCGTCGTCCGAATGTTGTGCTCGGATTGGATTAAGTTATTAACCGATCTGTTTTGTGCAATGACTGCAGTGCACTTGTTTTGTAGGTGGGCTGCAGCCGCCTGCGCCCGTATTAACGAGGAGCCCACTGCTGCCAACCGGCGACGAGTACTGGGCGACCTGCTGTACTTAGTGCGGTTCCCGCTGATGAGTGATCAGGAGCTATTGGATGGACCCGCTGAGGTACGGCAGCCGAATGTGCCTCTCGAAATGGCCGAGGCAAGTGTTGTTGTTCGTGTAGAGTAATTTATTACTGCAATCCGAATGGTGGGACATTTTTCGGCTCAAACACGCCAAAGCGAAGCCGGAAACACCCTTTTTTGCTCAACCAAGATTAAGCCCAGGATTTGTTCCGCTGCCACCGTTACCGGACGGGATAGCGCCGACGACAGAGTCATTCTCGCGGTCTTCGTGGTGGATAAGGAAGTTCATCCAGTCATTCTTGTGGTTGGCCGGGAAGCTGCTAGGGTATCCCGTTCAAGTGGTGCCTGCAAATTGGTGCGTTGAAAATTATGCTGTACTCAGTCGATGTTCCCGTGTTATTAAAGCGATACCAGCCCAACTCGAACTTCTTATTCGGCGCTTCGAGGAAGACTCTTGTTGTGCAGTCTAGAGATTACTGCAAAGGATACAAACCATAAGTTCACCAAAAAAGCTATGACCGCGTTTACTAAAATCAGGAAAAACCTGGCTGACTTTATTTAAATTGTCGCGCACCAAAATGAGAAAATAACAAAACTAAGGCTAGACTAGGAAGAGCGCGACCAACTTCCATGGCCATATTGCGCTTGCACTGAGATTATTAGAACAGGCAGTAGGCGAGATAAGTTAAGTAGACAAACGGAAATATCTTTCAGACCCGAATTTGCACAAGTTTCGTGTAATTTTTGCAGTTTTCCGATTTTTGGGACGATCGTTCTGCGGCGCGGAGAAGGCATTCCTTTAGGAATAAGTATTGTGCGCTTCCAGGTTACTGGGTTGTTTACGTATTATTGGGTTGTTGTTGCGAAGTATCTCAGAGTTTTGCTTTTAGTGCTTAAAACGAACTGCTGTGCTTAGGCTGGCGGCCGTGATTGTGGCGTGCCCATCTATGTGAAGAGAATCTTAATCGGAGGAAGCGCCCACAAAGATGGTAACAAAAAAATACTCAGTTAGGTTAGGAGCAATAATATGTTTGTCTTTTCGGCATAATGTGATGCGACGGAAACAATTTACTTCTATATATCGAAGTTACGCTTTTGGAGCCGAGACCGTTTAATTTCTGCAGGACGACTGCTGCCGGGAGATCAGATTATTCGACTGAACGGAGTGAGTCTGCAAGGGGCCACGCATGACGAGGCTGTCAGTGTGTTCGGGAACGCCGGGAATAACATGGCAATAGACGTTATGCGACTCTCGTTCCTGGCTGTTCGCAGCCCCACCGCCCATCACAATGAGTGAACTGTGTTTCTTATACTTTGGTTTCCGTTAGATTTAATTTGCCCTGAAACTGTCACAGTAATAATTTGTGAACACGAGTTCTATCCGTGCATGTACTAGTACTACATACATACAGATATGTATTTTATCACTTTATGTACAGGTGGTAGTCGTACTGTTGTCCACTGTGTTTGTGTGGCGCGCTTTCTCTGGGAATAAGCAAAAGCACTATATCACCTTAAAAGGTATGCGATGTCCGGATGCGGTGGTACCTATGTTACTTATAAGTTACGCAGCACACGCAACGTAGCACACGCAGTTACAAATGGCCTTTAATGAGCCACGACCATTGCCCACTACCATACCCGACTAGAAGTGATCACTAGACCGAACAACACTGTACTCGACTGATGTCTGGTGGCCGAGGTCACAACAGCTTTACACGAGCGCGCCACAATTTTTCAAATTTTTACGTTCAGTAGCTAACAAAATTTGTAATTTAATGAGTCCAGAACCTTTGCTGTATGACAACTGGTTCACGAAAAGCAAACAAAAACTGAAGCCGCCATTTTGTTGGGCCACGGGCCACCCGGTAAAATACATCCCGTTATCTACCGCCAACGAGCAGCAGCTACTACATTCTTAACCAGATAAAATTAATTCATTTCTCTGTTTTAGTTGTACTGTGCACGGATACAGTCCCCCAGATTCTCTACCTGTAACCAATAAAAAACGCAACAATATCATAATATTTAATGTCGAAGAATTTGCAACGCAAATTCTCTAATGCATTGTTTTTGTCAGTTGTGAAGTGCTGGTAAACAATGACGGCCTCAACTGGCGCTGGTAAGCTCGGACGGCACGCGTTTACTGGCCGCATCTGTCTGATAAGCTTTTGGATCGCCATTTTTGCTAAGCTTATAGCTGATCATTTTCTGTGCAGAATCCTGAGTCCAGAGATGGCGGGATGCTGTAGTCCACAAATTCAACGGGGAGCAACCTCTCCTGGCATCAACAGTATACTAAACAGTGCACTGGCCAACGGGGATTTAAGCGATGTGCAACTCGCCGTGGGCCGTGATTACGGACCCGTCAAGATCTTTCCAACGCACAAGTAAGTCTCTACCAAAGTCCAGGTCTACCTGATGCAAATTTTCAAGTCGGTTCTGGGTTCACGGGTTTGTAGAAATATTTTGAGCATGCGCAGTCCGGTTTTTCGGGCCATGTTCTATGGCAGTTTGCCCGAATCTTGTGATCGTCCAATTGATGTTCCTGATGTTCATCCAGAAGCATTCGCCAATATGCTCAGGTAAATGTCAGTTTGCAGTTTCTTAAAGAATGGGGTGTTTTGAAGCTGGTTTTCTAGCTATTTCTACATTGACCGCGTTGATTTGAATCACGAGAATGTCTTTCCAACGCAGTACTGCGCCGATCGATACGATGTGCCGTTGATGGTAGACTTGTGCTCCCAGTTTGTCTTCAAGGACCTTGATACACGGAACTGCTTAACGTATCTCGACATGGTAAGCTTTTCTCCGCCTGTCTTAAGGGAAGTGGCCCGGTACATGGTGCCAAATTTTGGGTGCATACACGAAAACTTCCACTTCTGCGCTCACCCTAACCCTTTTTTTGCATCGTTTTCTTGCATTCTGTAGCCACATGATTTGTATATGTTGGTGTGGATATCGTTTGTGTGCACAACATCCGGTTGGAAGGTTATGGGCGAAATAAGATTCCGAAAAACTGAAATGCAAGAAGGTGTACCTGAAGTCTCATTATGAGACGATTTCTTTCAGATTTGCGGAAAAAAGCGCATTAGTATAACTCAGTATAAGGATCGTTTTGACACGGAACCATGTTTCCATGATGTTTTTCAAATTTTAAAATGAATTTCAAAAATTTTAAAATTTATTTTAAAACTGGGAAAAAATGCCAGAATACTGACTGGTTCCCTCTCAGAATGATCCTTATACTTACTTATGTGCTTTTTTCCGCAAATCTGAAAAAGATGGCACTATGTACCGGGCCACTTCCCTAATTAATTACAGCGTGTAGATTTTAAACAAACTACATAGTTTGCGCGAGCACTATTACGTTTGTTTAATTACATGTCGAAAAATTTCTGATACATTTAGGCACTTAAATGGCATGCTGACGCCTTTATGGAACCTTGCTTAAAACTGATAGACGCGCACGCTGAAACTGTTCTGGGATCGGAACCATTTAGCTGTCTGGACAGCAAAACAATGGAGTCAATTCTGCAGCGCAGTACACTGCAGGCATCGGAGAACATTATCTACACAGCCGTCGAGAAGTAAGAATTATGGAATACTTCATTTAATAAACGAGGCCGTACTGGTAGGTCGTATACAATGGACTTCATAAATGTGGTTACACTTAAAGCCGATAGCGCTATGCATACGGGTGACTATGTGTAACCACATTTATGAAGTCCACTGTAGTTAAGGATACCTGTCTTCGGGGATTCTTTTAGATTGTTGTTGTGTGCTTTCGATTGTTTATTTACGTGTGCTCGAATTTACACTAATTTAGTCGGGACTCTCGAGTGCCGACTTTAAAGTTGCATGTTGTCTGCTGGGTTCGTGCGTTGGGTGAATCCAACAAACAAATACAATTTTTATGAAATCAAGCAAAAAAAAAACTTGAGAAATGTTCAGTACCTCCACTGGGGCTCCTGTAGTTGGGTACTTCGAGCTGTCTTGTAACGTGGGGCCTTATGGGCGCCCACGTACCTTCGACGGCGAAACAGCGGCGAACCCGGATTGAGGCTTTAATGCCGAAATCTAATGTGCGCACCGTGGCGCAGCAAACACCAGACTAATGAGATCGGATCCTACAGCCAGCGCAGCTGTGCTGTAGATCCGTCAAAACACAGCAGCAATGTGTGGGATGGAAATCCCCAGAACAGCAAAAGACAGCGGCGAATGGCCAATCGTGAAGGCGGAGCTATCGGCCTTCACAGTCTGAACAATTGTTATTTGAAATGTAAAGTTTAAGTGACCAGTTGCTAAGAAAAACCGAAGTATTACAGTGCTTCTAATAATAATCAGTGCAAAGCGAAAATTTAAAGGCTTGCCAAAACCCTGACGCAGGAGGACGATTCTATGTAGTCTAATAGGATTGTATGTTTCGTTCATTTGTTTCTCAGGTGGGCAGCAGCTGCTTGCGCCCGAAACAACGAGGAGCCAACACCTGCCAACCGGCGGCGGACGCTGGGCGAACTGCTGTTCCTCGTCCGATTCCCGCTGATGAGCGACCAGGAGCTGCTTGATGGGCCGGCTGAGGTCAGGCAAACGGCACAGAACTCTCGACATCTTCCAGGCGTCATTATTATTTGCAGAGCAATTTATTATCGCAAGCCGAATTGTGGGACATTTATCGGTACAAGCACGCAACAGCGAAGCCGGAAATACCGTTTTCATGGGAGCCACGATTAAACCCGGGATCTGTTCCGCAACCGGGAAGTGTCGAGGTGGTGGCGAAGTCGACGGTCTGGCTGCCGTGGTATTGGATTAGGAAGATCATCGGGCCAGGCGTTTGGCTGGTTAGGATGCTGTTAGGGATTTCAGGCGAAGAGGTGCCGGAGCGTCGGTGAGCACTGAGCGGTTAAATCTGACCGTACTCATATTCATATATTTTCGGCCTTCCCGCAATCCATTCCACGTTGTTACTGCAAAGAGTTTGGTCATTGATTTGTTTGTTGCAGTCTGTCGGAACCTATTACGATCGTATTGCGGCGTGGAGAAAACGGTCATTTGGGGTTTTATATGGTGCGTGTCAGGTTGGCACTGGCAACACTATTGGCGCACAAATATTTCCGTTTATATTTGAAAATGTCTGCATGCAATGAAGCACGAACTGTTAGATCTCGCACTAACAACTTTACGAGCATTAACTTCATCCAGTAAAGAGAGCGAGAAAACAAAGATTCAAGCCCAGAATTAGGTTTAGGAAGAATAAATTGTTTAGTTCAGTCGGTTTACCAAAGTTAACCAAAATTTTCAAGGCAAATTTAAAAAATAACACTTTCCGCGGTAAAATATCTGCACTGACTTTCAGCACATGCACGAGAACAGTTCTTTCATGCACCCGGCAAATGTAAGAAAAGTTGATTTTCCGGTCTGGAAGATATAATTACTGTGCTTCTTTGTAGGGTGGTGGCCGCGCAGGGCCAAATCAGGATGGAGATCTGGAAGTGTTTGTGCAAAGGATGTTAGCCGGAGCAAGCGCTGAGCGGGATGGTAGGAAGCAATAGTGCAGTTTGGGGCAATAAAGCCTTTCCGGTAGTCACACTTGGACAGTTGCACGGCCCAGCAGAAACACTAGCTGTCCTAGTCTCCTAAATACATGCAGGGCGGTGTCACACGTGCTATTTTCAGGTGACCTTGTATTCTGCAGGGCGACTGAAGCACGGTGATCAGATTGTCCGCGTAAACGGAGAGAGGGTACTAGCGGCCACCTTCGAAGAAGCCGCCAGTATGTTGCACAACGCCGGAAACATTGTGACCTTGGAAATCATTCGTGGCAATCACAAACGGTGTGTTGACTGTTCATAATTTATCCGCCGATCTCAGTGACTGGCTTACGCCTTTTAAACTTTACTCCATCAATTTCTTTTATTGGGTTTTCTGCGTACTGTGTTTCGGGAATTCTTTGTGATGGCACAGTTTGGCGGATGCATTTTCGAACGTTTTTACATCGAAACTTAAAAGCCGATAAAAGATGCGGCGTGTTGGCCAAGTACGAACTGGATAAAATTAATAAACCCGTGCTCCAATAAACGCGATGCAACTATCTGCATTAAAGCACCGACGCACATTGCAGTTAGAGGGCATTGCTTAAACCGGTGCAAGTTAATTGTGAAGTCTCTCGTAATATAGTTAATATTTAATATTAAGTATTTAGTACAACCGATACTGAATGATAACTGGTAATAAACAGAAGTAGGAAGTAGGAAACAATCGTTGCTATAAGGCAACAGGTACAGTCTGTAATATGTACGTACTCTACATAAGTGCTGAGATTCAATCAGATTGGCGATACGATACAGTCACAAGTTTCCTATAAAGTGAAAGATTTGTCCAGAATACTCAACCTCAGCCGGTTACGGAAATAGGCGGCCTAATCAAACAGACCATTTCGTCTAAGTTAGCCGATACTGGTGCTGTTCCCATGACGGATGCCGCGTTGGAATTCTATGCTAATCCGTTGGCGTAGATACTCAGTCGCCCGTACCTCGCCTGTTTCCTGTTGCATCATCTTCCCGGCTTCAGTGACCAACCGCGAGAGGCGTCTGGTCCGAGTGTTTCGACGAATTCTAATAAGGCAAACAATCACTATATGCAAGTTAAAGATAAAATAATTATAAAATAAAAATTCACGGTCACCCTTCTGCCTAGTTCTTGTTACCACCGGATGTTGTTTTGGAGGCGGTGGTGCAGTACCGTTGACATTGCACTGACGCCAAATTTAAGAATACTGTAAATATTTTTAACACACATTTTTCGCTTCGTTTGTAGAGCTTGGTTTGCTGTTAATTTTTATGTATGTGCCGCACTAACAAACAGCATAGTTTGCGAACGCGCGCTGTTTAAAATGTACCGGGACAAGCTCTTGTTTCTATGCGCCTACGATGACTTCCGGGCGTGGCTTTGGGCGTACGGCTCCCAACCGCCACGGGGCGCCATCCGGGCGAGAATCGTCAATAAGCGTTAGCTCTGCATTTGAAATGGCGGGCTTATCGGTTGCACCCTGGCTCCAGTGTCTCCAGCATGATCTTCACTACTTCAGCAAAAATTCAAATTTTTTCTTAATTCTTTCTTCAGCAGTTCTTGCAGTTTCAAAAGTTAATGATGACATTATTCTTAATCTTTCTTTGTGCTCAGATTTTGTCTGAAATCTTGGATAGTTTTATTTTGTGGAACTCCAGTTTCTACGTGTTTCTTCCAGTTTCTGAATCCACTGGTAGGAAGTCACGTGGTTTGTAGAAGTCAGAAACACGCTCACCTGTTGCCTGTGCTTGCTATGTATTTAATACCTATCATGTCTTATACCCGTTACGCAAGTTGTCACTGTCATTGTCGTATCATTGCTGAGAATATATATTTGCATCGCATGGATTTGTGATTGTGATTTCCTGGTCTCTTGCCAGTATCAAAATCAAAATTCTGCTTTTTATACGTATGCAGCTACAGCCAACTGGAAAGTTTATTTACTCGGAGACCGAAGCCTCGTCAGATGGACATAATGGCACTGAAGGTGCCAACTGAAAATTTCATTCCTGACGAAGTTAGAGATCCCCGCACAAACACCGTGTATAGAAAAGGGAAGTTTATGGGAAAAGTAAGTTTGATATTATTTATTTTGTGTTGATATATAATATTTGTTCCCGTTTTGTTGTTTTGCCATATGCGCACTGCAGCCGACTGCAATTTACCAGTCGCTGTGTTCTTGTAGGGTGGTTTTGCGCGATGCTTTGAATTGCTGGATACTAAGCAGAAGACAGTATGGGCTGGGAAAATTGTGCCGAAGTCGTTGCTTCAGAATACTTCCCACCGTAAAAAGGTATGGAAAATCTGTTTCGTGCTGTTTGTGCGCTGTGCTGATTTCTCCTATCAGTTCTGCTGCGAATTTGGGTACGTGCTGTTACTGTCGCACAGTTGTTGCTCGATGCGGTAAAGTGACTGTAGAATACTTAGCGTAACACGTGGGCAGAGGGAAGCTCACGAGTCACGACTGTGGGGAAAGGCTTTATTTTGGATAACAATAATGCGGCAACACAATAATGCAACACAACAACACAATAACACAACAATAATGACAACACAACAATGTCCGTTAAAAATCTCAAGAATCTTTAATGAGATGTGCACGAGTGCAATGTGTGTCCAATGCACCGGAAGTAGGGCTGTCGCTAGCTGCCACTGCGGTAGGCTGCAATAGCGACTGGCCCAACATTAATGTATATAATATGTACGATAAATATTCGAGATAAAATTAATATGTATTCGAGATTTACTTGATAGATGTCTCAGGAGATCCAGATCCATAGAGAAGTCCGCCATCAACACATCGTTGCTTTCCATACGTGCTTCGAGGATAGCGATAACGTTTACGTTCTCCTGGAGCTTTGCCGTAATCACGTACGGTAGCATTGTGGATTTAATTTACTGTATATGATTTTTAAAATGTGTCCCTAATGAATTTCTACAGACAGGTACATGTACATGACTATTTTTCATGTACATGACTCTGTACATGACTATTTTGCAGTCACTGATGGAACTTCAGAAACGGCGGAAGGCTATTCAAGAACAGGAAGCGCGATACTTTCTGAAACAAATCGTGGAAGCGTGTATATATCTCCACGGCCATAACATTATTCACCGCGATCTGAAACTCAGCAATGTCTTTCTGAACGATAAAATGGAGGTGAAGGTGGGCGATTTTGGATTGGCTACGAAGATTGAATTTAGCGGACAGAAAAAGGAGTAGGCCGAGCGATCTGCATTTACGTAATTTTTGACTGGTAAATAGTATCTGTTTTTGTTGAAGAACTCTATGCGGAACGCCTAATTACCTTGCACCGGAAATTTTGCTCAAGAAAGGGCACAGTTTTGAAGTTGATACATGGAGCTTGGGTTGTATATTGTAAGTCAGGACTCAGGAGCTAAATAATTATGGACAGACATATGCTGAATTACAGTTTTGTGCAGGTATACTCTTCTTGTTGGTCGTCCGCCTTTCGAAACACCGAAGCTGAACGATACGTATCGGCGTATTAAAAACAACGACTACAATCTCCCTGCTCGTTTATCGAATTCTGCAAAAAATTTGATCACGATAATGTTGAACCCGGACCCTCATCTACGCCCCAGCATGAAAAAGATTTTAACGCACGAATTTTTTATAAGTGGTATGTTTTTAATTTTATGTTGCTGCAGTCGGTTTATTATTCGTTGCTATTCTAATAGGTTTTCTCCCGGCTCAGCTACCCGTGTCTTGTCTCACTATGGCACCCCGAAATCTTGGAGAATCCACTCGAAAGCCGTTAATCGAAGTTACCGTACCAAACACCAACCAAGCTGCCCGGGACGAATTACCACCTGAAGGTTTGTTAGTGTCGGTCTTTGCTGTTCCCATTGCCATTAGTTTGGGTTCACTTTGAAGATTTTCGATTATTCCTTGTAGAAATCATGCATACCGCAAGGCTTTGAAGTTTAACTTTGAAATCAGTTGGGATTGGCACTACAGAATCGATGTGTGATGTTGTGAGCCTCATTAGTACTGGTGTTCTCGTTTTAGCTGTTCCTGTTGACCATTGGTTATCTGATCTGCACCAGCAATTAAGCGACTTGATTGCATCGTTTGGGGAATCAAAGACGACACAAAATAATGGTTGGTCGCAGAATCGCAAGTTACAACTCAGACAAACAACAATACAAATTACTGTAATAAATCTTTTGCAGACCATGCGGAAGATCCTAACCAAAGTCCTGTGGTCTGGATATCAAAATGGGTTGATTATTCAGACAAATACGGCCTTGGATATCAGCTGAATGATGGCAGTTCCGGTATTCTGTTCAATGATTCGACAAAAATTCTCTTGTGGAACGACCAGCAGTAAGTGAGATTAAGTTTTATTGTTGAGTCCGGGCTTTGCGTTGCAGCTTGTATGCTACACAACTATGGACCTATCAATACAAGTTACGCCATGGGCGAGCCCACAATGCGGCGATTTGCTGCCGCACAAATTAGATTTGTGCTTGTGTGAGGGCGGTGCCAAAAATGCATACTCGTAAGAGCCGTACGCGTATGTATGTAACGCCACCCCTTATCATGCAAACATACACGAAACTGATCCGATTACAAGCCAACTTCCGGTGACCGGAAGTCTATACTTGTATGCACGGGTGCTAACTGATATGCCATACAAGCTGCAACAAGGGCCCTGCTGTTGTGGACTTTTGAGAGATATTGAATTCGAATTATGTGTAAACAGTGCAGTAAGGTACGCAGTGACCTTTTTAAGTTTTCGTGTGTGAACACGATTAAATCAGTAGTTCCGTGTCAAATGCTGTAAGTATGATGAATGACCATTCGTCTTATTGTTTTTAAAGGGTTATGATAATATTTTACTTCTTTACAGGTATGTGCAGTATATCGATCGCGATCAAGTAGAGCACTACTGCTCCGTAAAAGATTATCCCAAAACTATGCAGAAAAAGATGACTTTACTGCAGTACTTTCAAAATTATATGCAGGAGAAACTCATGAAGGTAATTTCTGCATTCATCTTTTAACAACACATATTATTATTATTATTACGGCACAAGAGCAGACAACCCCGAAGGGACATGATAAATTTATTGAGATTGATAAATTATTATAAATTATAAGATTGATAAATTTATTGAGAGCATTAGCTAGTAACTTAGTAGTGACTAGTGACAAGATATGCACTTTTTCGTTACTCATTAGACGGGAGAAAACCTGAGCCCTCGAGAACTGCTTGCACTGCAAAGACTTCCGTGGTTGCGCAGCTGGTTCCGTTCGCATTCGGCTATTAACATGCATTTGACGAATGGAACTGTTCAAGTGAGTCGCCTCAGTTTTCAAAATAACATTGTTCTCCTTCAGAAACTGCTTTGCTAAAAAGAATTTTCTTAGATAAACTTCTTCAAAGGCCACATGAAAATGATACTGTGCCCTTTGATGCACGCCGTAACGATTATTTACCCGGATAAATCGGCCCGGACTTTCCGCATGTCCCTTTTTGCTGAAATGGGTTGTACGAAAGAACTGCAGGAACGCTTGATTTATGCCAGAATGATCTGTGAAAAAATGCTCCAGTACAAAAGCGCCGGTTCAGGGAAATTAAGGATGACTGGAAATGGAGAAGAAAAAGACAAGGCAGCATCGTCAGAAATGTCGGTCGCGGAATCCACTGAGTAAGGTATTTGGGTGGAACTGACTGTTTTTGAAATTTTCGTTTAATAATAATATGAGTTGCGTCGTATGTTACTCAGTATTCTCAGACTGTCGGCATTTGTGTATTGTACTAAATTATTTTACTGTGGCTGAATTGAATGCATTTGCTGTTGAAATTAATTGTTTCTTAATAGCTTGTTTAATTTACCCTGTGCTTAACGAGGTGGATGAGCAGTGTGCTGACTGGACAAACGCTTAATAAAAAATATTATATCGGAATTCGATCGATCGATTCGTCTGAGCAATTTATTCTGTTGACGCTACATGAAACAGTTCAAACAAGAATTAACGTCGCAATGGTATCGCAGTTGAAAGGCTGGGCGCAACTTCCACTCACAGGTAACATTTCAACAGTCATGCCATTCAAAACATTTTGCAGTCATGTTGACTGCAAAATGTTTTGTCACCAAAGTCACGGATTTCAGCAATTTTCATTTCCGAAATATAAATAAATATGTTGAAAAACATCTACGGAGTCTATACAGTATCTGTATTTCCAGTGTAGATACAGAATAAAGTAGAAGATACGATAGGCAGACTCACGGTAAGTAATTTATGTAAGCAGTGTAATTTAAAGCAACTTTGGACATTGCATAATCGGAGAACAGAAGTGTAAAAGTTCGAAATTTTCATTTAAATTGCAGTGATGTTTTCCACTGCCTGGTTAAATGCTACCAAGTGCAATACAACAAACTACGCAGCACTCAATTACCTCGTAAATCAGTACATCTTCGAAAGTATTTAATTTTCAGTAAATGCTTAGTGGCAAATTGTTACTAACTGCTACGAGGGAGTATGTAAATAATTTAACTTATATGCATATCAAATTTTTAAACTGTTATGATTATGTCGAGGGATCTATGCCGTTTCAAACTAAAACCACGCACCGTTTTGTACTATACCCCATCAATAATAAAAATATGAATCATAGTAATATCGGTACATCAATTTAGACGTTAACTCATACGGGAAACGTATGAATCACAATCACCCTTAAATCAGTGTTTTTTTGTCTAGAAAAAGACAAAATTTGTCCTGGAAGTTTTTTGTCGTAATCCGACATAACATAATAATTTTGTCGGTACAAATTGTGCCCTCCCCGCCCCCAATCGTTTATGAAATTAATTGCGGTTGTTTTCTAAATATTAAGTATATTATCCGGTATATGTATTCTGTAGTACGACACTAGTAATTTTATTCCGCTTGTGCGGATTCATTTGTTTAGGCGATTTCTTTATTAATCAGCAGGGCGATCTGGATTCGGTAGTTGTGGTGTATGTATAAATGTTGCAATAGTTTTCGACTGATACAGATATGTAACCGGCATCGAACAGTTAATTAATCCCAGTTCGGGCAAAATTATATTCATCCTTTCCTGGAAAAAGAAATTTTGCTCACTGTATTCTGCAGACAGCTGCCGGTTTCTGTGTGGATGGTTTGTACAAACCATCCACTCCAAATTGGCTTGATGAGCATTAAAATTTAAACTTGAGGTTCGATTGTGAAGCAATTAGAGATTCATAACGGTGCAATGCGAACAATAGCCGTGCAACAGTTCGCCAAAGCAAAGAAATACGAGCATCGTAGGCAAGCATCAATTCGAAATAAAATGTGGCTGCACTGTTCAGACGATTTCAAAATCCTTTCCTAAAGACGCATTGGCACAGCCTGATGCTCCCGGTTGTTATCCCAATAAATTAAATAGTTCCATATGAGCTGCCACCGGTAATTATTTATTTGGAAGCGTAAGACCAGTGACATCAAGATTTAGTGGTGCAGTGCTGTATGGCGCTTACGATCGACTGAAATATCAAGTTTTGAGTTTTCATCACACTTGACAACTTTTGCCGCGCGCAATTGAACTGTATGGCGCATTCAGCCGTTGCGACGCGACTCCGTGTGAAATCCTGATATGAGACGTTTTTGATAACAGTAATGCGAGTGTTATCATGTACGCGTCCGTGCGCGTCTGCTGCTGGAGGTCAGCCATTAGCTGACTAATGTCTTCTGTTAGTTAAACTAATGTCTTCTGCTACTAATGTCTTCTGTTATGAATAGAAGTAGGAAAAATAAAAATAAACAAAGTATTACAGTACTTCGGCGGTTTTCTTTATAGACTGTAAGTATACTGTTACCGTGTACATATATAAGTATACATATAGCCATATAGGTAGATATGTTAAGTATCAATGTATCGAGCTGTATTAATTTAGTTAGATGAGTTTAACTTGACCGCCGGTATACCAGGTATTTGGGCTTTTGAAATAATTTAATTTTGCACTTATCACACAGTCTATAAACATGCACAGTCAATAAACATGCAGTTGTTATAGAATTTAGCAGTTTTTACTATATAATAAAAGCGGACCGTTTCGGTTTTGTGCTTACCATGATTAAGAATCATTAGGAATCGGTGTAATTTACAGATACAAGGCCATTAAGTTTTTCAAGTAATTAACGTAATCGGTTAGTATTTCATGGCGCGTGTGAAAAATTACACATGCCGACTTTCATTTACAGTGTCTACTAATTTTTTTAGCTGCTTCCAAAATAAAGAATTCCGTAAGTCGTATCTCGGTTATTGTGCTTGTTCTCTGTAGTGTACATCGATCTCTCTCTAGATCTGTGAAGGTGATTAATGTAATAATATTATAATATTTATAAAGTGCTACCAGCATATATACGTAGAATTATGTAGTATACGTTTATACAGGTGTATAATGATGCATACTGCGCCTTATGCATAATTACTGATTAGAGGCAGATTTCATGACTAATTATTAAGAACCAGAAAAACGAAGAAAAACCTAATATTTTAACTTTTTAAAGTACATCAAGATTTATAGAGGTTTTTCTGCGTATACTGTTTTATAGAGGTTTATCAATATATTATTTAATAGAAAAGGGTTCTAGTATAGTAATACGGTCGGAACTCGGAACTCCCGCAACGCATTGTAAATTATACCGTACGTACGTGCGCAAGCAAACGCGCGCAATGGGAAGACTGGAAAGTGCAGCGGCTGATCACTTTATATTCACAGTTTTTCACAACGACGACGCATAAGCGTGTAACTTCAGCATTTTCGTTTTTTAAAAATTAGAAAGAAGGCAAAAATGTTTAATGTAAAACGTAATATTATATAAAGTGTATTCAAAAAGCTTGGACCAAGGTGAGCTTTGGCCAATAAAAATGCAGGTTTATGTGTATAAACCAGATGCCGACAGGTGCTTGGCAGTTGGCAGCTGAAGTTAGTTTTTGTATTTTCGAACAAAATTTGTCAAACCACGACACTTCTCGTTACGAACGAGATAAAGTTATAACTGCCTAGGTGTTATCAGTCAGCGCTGTAAGCGATCTGCATGAACCGACATGCACACTTGTGAATCGGATGCGGTTATCTGTGAGCCACTCATCCGAAACATATGAAACTGTCTTTCCATATAAATGTTATTGATAGGGTAGTGGCCATATGCACAATGGGTCAATGGCCATATGTATATACGATAATACGCGTATCATGAGCTTAACTTATATTATCTGTACACAGGTAAAATCGTTTTCTGTAAATATACATAAAAATTCGAGTAATTTCTCGAAAATCTGATTATCGTACAAATTAGCCACAAAATATATGATAAACTTTCGTTCTTCAAAATTGCGCACGTGGTCAGAGGTCAGCCTAGAGTAAGTAATGCAAGGTCATGCATCCAGTTTTCAAGTTTAAGAAACCTAATCGTGAGTCTGGAATTTTAACGAACTTAAAATTATGCTTTATTACCAATATTACTGTATACAGAGTTCGACCATTCTCATGAAATACAGGATAAATACTTAACAGTTATTTTGTATTTGAAAACCATCGTCATTTCTGTAATTGAATTATGTTATTGAATTAAACTTGTTCGAGCAAAATTGCTACCATTCTGGTTTGTGACAGGCTTGGTCTAAGCCATCTATAAACTATAATAATTAACAGGTTAAATAATCACAAACGCACTGACACAAACCCGTGGCACCAGAATTCGTGCTCTTACTGCCGGAATGTAACAAACGAGCCTTTTCATTGGATCGTCAACGCTGACATATTGCATATGTCTGAAGTACAGTGGACTTCATAAATGTGGTTACACATAGCCACCCGTATGCATAGCGCTATCTGCTTTAAGTTCCAGTACTTTTAATAAGCATCACATACAAGTACATACTGAGTACTAAAACAAAATTCATAACAAAAACACTTCTTCAATGCTATCCTGCTCGGGGATCGTACCCATAACACATAACGCGTTTCCCCGTTGCATTTGGATAGATAGCCGCTGTCTAAAAAACTCTTTCGCCCGCTTCTGGCCTGTGGCGGAAGCTATGCCGTTGCCGACCTTCTCCACGAGTTTTTTCGTTCCGCCTCCCAACTCCCAAGGGTCCGTAAATTTCAAAGGCGGCAGCTATTAGATTGTATCTTGGTTGTAGCCAGCCGTGTTTCGACAGTTTTCTTCTCTCCGCCTGCTCAGCTGCTGCACCGACGCACACGGAAGTACGGTCGATATATGAGGATGCGAGTGTGTCCACGCAGGTCACATCAATTGCAATTGCCAGTGGTTTTCCGCGCTCCGCGCTCCCACGGCTTTAAGTGTAACCACATTTATGAAGTCCACTGTAACTTTTGTACTGAACATCGGATGAATAATCCATGTTTATTCTATTCTATTCTACAACCTAATCTTTCCAACCTATTCTATTCTGCAGTCTGTAATCTGGGGACAACTGTCGCAGCAGCGAAGGCTTGAAAGGTTTTCGTGATTTTAAACTACAGTTCTCGGATAGAACATTATTTAAATTGTTAAGTGGCTCATGCAGCTTACTACTCGTAGGGGCCGGTCACCGCCTTCCCTCTCAGAAAAATTTCATATTTTGTTTGAAGACAGAACAAGTGTGGGGAACACTTCAAACAACACTTGTCGGCAAT